GCAAGGTTAAATGCAATTCCCATACCTCTTAAAAATAAGAAATATATAGAGGACTTGTATTGTAAGTCTTTATTTTTAATTACTGTTATTAATCTTCTTTGACTGAGGCAGTAAAAGGTAACCACTGACTCTTCGAGCAGTGTTTCAACAAGTCATGCGGACTACAATGTTGACAGCCTGTGTAGTCCTAAATGGATTTTTGTATAACTAAACCACTGTGTAATTATGGATCTTTTGTGATTTTATGTTCTCATCTGATAGTAAATTTTTCTCTCTTTGATGTGGTATGTTGTGTTCAGTAGCTTATCTGAAAACATCAATAAGGTTCTGAAAAGGATAAAATCAAATTGTTACAGGCTATGTTCCCATAATGTGTGCATAGCCAGGGGGAAAGATGATAAATAGATGCACTAACTCACTGAATCTCCATGTTTCAGACACTGAAAATACAATTCTATCCCCATATTCTCTCCAAAGGAGAGCAGCTGGATTTATTTCTCATATATTTCAAAAGCTGTCATGCAGAAGCCTAGACCAACATTAGTTTACATCCAGATGACAGAAGAGATTGTAAAAACAAAAATGAAGACTTTCTGACTCCAGTGCTTATGATTACGGAAAATTTCCCTTAATTTCATCTGATAAGAACACTAAAAGAGATATTAACATTATGCATCTTATTTTAAGTTGTTGATGTAAACAAAAAAATATATATATTTTAAAAGTTGTGTTTCTGTTAAATATCTTTATGTAACAGTTCACACCTTTGGCTGCACATTCAAATCCCCAAGGGAGAATAAAAACATTTACTTTCAAAGTTATTTACATATACATTATGCTCCCAACTTTTGCCAGTCCCATTTAGATGTTTACATAAAGGAAAAACAATATGTATAACAACTATGTTCATAAGTCAGATTGCTATGAGTATTTAGTCTGTATGTACATGATTTCAATGAAAGCTGACTTTCCATGCTTACTTGCAGTGAATGATCATAGGGAAATGACTATTTCTCTATTTAATTTAAAGATACATATTTGAGTGTAATATTAAGGTATATTTTTAAATCATTGAAATGTTTTTTTCTAAATTTTCAGACACCAAAAATATCATTTAGAACATGTGATACAGTGTATGGTATGGGACAGAAATCCTTACTGTTACTAATATTACTAAATAATCAATCATATTATATTTTCAGTTACTACTTTATTATGCAGAGCATGAAATAGCTCTGTGAGTTTGAGACTTGTGTTCTGTGAAATGAAGATCTGAATCAGTCATCTTTAAAATTCCTTTCCAATCCCATCATTTGGAGATTCTGAGCTTTGCTCTGCAGTATAGGCCAAGCAATGTCTACCACACAATCTTATTTTACAAAAGATATAAAAGCTAAGGTGGATAGTAGTGAAATTATTCTTATAATATCACAAATAAGTTTGCCATGTGTCAGGTCAGGGAGAAGAGATTATTAATGAAGCCCAACCTATTTCAGTACGTATCCCATCTCAGTCTTCATATAGGTTTCTTTTTTTTTTAATTTAATAGTCTACAATTTAAAAACATTTTTTAATATTTTTTAATCACCATGATTATAATTAAATGACAGCAATATCTGAATGTTGATAGGGATAAGGACCATCTGCATTATTTAATTAAAAAGCAGTGTATTAAAAACTCTTCCAGCTTAGATACTAAAGGCATTTTAGAAACAAACCTAAACAACACTGTAAGAACTTTTTCTTAGTTAAATTAAAAAATTATTGTATTCACCCTTTTTAAGATGTACATTTTTATATTTTATGTGTCTGAAATCAGAATGAGTTTTCAATGATTGGTGACAATCACTGTCTACCAGCTGGCAGTTGTTCTGTAAGCATTATTTCTTAAGCTTGCATAAATGTGGTCATGGCTGTTCTTACAGTCATGTTCAACTAAGTTATACGTCTTGCTTATGCTGCAGGTGGAGAGTTTAATTGTCATTCAACATTCTTCAGAAGATTATAGTATGGTTCATTATTGAAACCAAAAAAAAATACTGTCTGAAAAGGAAGGCTAGGAAACAAGGGCAAGAATTAAACTTCATATGATGAAGCAAATATTTATTATGAGGGCAATGCCTACAATTCTACATTTTCTTGTTAATCAACAGCTGACTGATTTATATAGTTTTGCTTCTTACCGTGTCAAGGCAGGAACCCCAGTGTCAGCATCCCCAGGGGTCTCACTGGAAATACAGAACCTCCCAGATTTTCTGAATCAGAATCTGCATTTAATTAAGATCCCTGCATAATTCCTTTGCACTTGAAAGTTTGAAAATCACAACTTTACAGCTCCAAGGAAGATACCCACAAGATGATGAAGCTTTTGTATATTTTGTTACTGAGATATGTGTTAAATGTAGTTCTCCCGTGTATTAATCAATACAACCCAATGCTGGAAAAAGCCCCTTAGAAAAGAAGACAGGAGTTCAAAGCAACAAGAAAGTAGGGTGACTTATGATAGTGATAAAAATCTATGTCCAAATAAGTTTAAAAGCTTTGCCTATAAGCTCTATTAGGTATAAGTAGATTCAAGTGATAAGAAAGTATTATGCTACAGTTTATTTTGCAAAACAATTTTTTTATCCTTCTTGATGGTTCATAAAATCATGGTGTATCTTGCCATAGGTGAAACAACAGATGTGATGAAACATAGGCAATACCAGTTCAGTGTATCACAAACCCATTATAAACCATTGAAAATAATAACATTTTCATACATATCTATGCCCTTGAGATAACTGGATAAACTGGCATAGATAGCTATTAATCTGTATAGCTTAAGAATCATCCTGTAAATTATTTTATTATATAACATTTTCATTGCTAAATAACTGCATAGGAAGAAGAGGAAGAATTAATAAAAATATTATCCATATTTTATTTTTATGCAACATAAATAATGACACAGTGGAAATTTTCTGAGTAAACATTAATAGCTGCATTAAAAATAGATGTTTGTAACTTTAGTTAGATCGTTGTAACTTTGTCACATATAATGAACATAAAATTTACACTGTGAGTGGATATTTTTAACCATGAAAATTAAGCATGATAGAAAGTTTAAGAAGCTGGATCTCAATATCTGCTCTTAGTTTGATATTTTAAATGATTCATCTAAATAGCTTATCCATTTCTTCCTTATTGACATTTAGCATAACATATAAAAAAATATAACTTTAAAGAAATAACTTTTGTTCCAAATGATACGGAGTAGCTTTAATAGACTGTTAACCTTGGGTTAAACCATTAGTTTTTGACTGCTTTCAGCCTTTTTTTCCAGCTTCACTTCTTTATTGGTTATTAGATTTACCATACTTTTTGCTCAACATACTGTTTTGACGAAGCAGAAGCCTGGAGGTTTAAGGAGAATCATGGAAGAACTTTTCTGACTTACCAGGAGGTACAAGTTAAACGGTGAAGAGACATTTAGAACCCATTTGAAGGTTGCCATCAGCATGGGGAGAGATAACTATGAATCAAACTACTTTTTCCTTCTACATTTTGATTTTCTCACATACACAGTAATACATACAGTGTGGATGCTGAATGATTGTTTTTCAAACAAATACATGTTGAAAAAATGTTAGAAGTTAGGTATGTACATTCTTACCTGGCTATTTTGCAGAACCTCACTGAGATGATATTTTTGACTATTTTAAAAGATGATTAAAATCTCAGTATGCACACAATCAGTATGTTTTATATACCTTTACCTCCCACATTTGAGTCAATGTTTTTTCACTCACTTGTGAAGGAGACTAATTTTAAGGACACTTACCTTATATCATGTTTCAGGGCATTCATGAGTGGCAAGAGATAATCTGGTTCATTTTCTTTTATGGAATGATTTAATTCTTTAGCTCTTCAGCATACTTTTCATGAAAAAATAACCTAAGGTCAATAAACATATATTCCTGCTCTGGACACTCAGTGACTTTTTTCTTTTAATATTCAATAATCTCAATGATTTAAAATCACATGACAAATGTCTAAATGTTGAAAATTGACAGGGGTGAAGACTATTTGCAGTGTAAACTTGAGATGACCACCTAGAACACTATGCTCATTACTTACTCAAATGTACATTTTTAGATTAATTACTTGCAAAGTGAAATCTGAGTTTCATGGGACTTATAAGCAAAATTCAATGTTTCTCAAAACTTCAAGATCTAATAGCAATGGTAATTATAGTGTAGCCCCTTACTAATCAGTGTTCCTTGGTGACCAGCAACATCTGAATTACCTGGAAGCTTTTTAAAAAATGCAGAATCTCAAGTTGCATCACTTACTGAATCTGAATCTGCATTTTAACACATTCCTAAGTGATTCCTATACACATTAAAGTGTGAGAAGTGCTGGGAGCCTGTTCCCTTTCCCTATATCCAATTTTGACTGATAGGATTATTTGAGAATCTGCAAGTGCATCATAGCCCTGAAACCCTTCAAAATAGACATGGTCTACAGCATTCTCAAATAGAATGGAAGGCATATATGATTACATTTTAGAAAAGAAAAATCACATTTTACATGATTCAAAATCCCCTGAACATATATATCCTTTTATGTTTAGGCTTTTTGAGTCATACAATCATCCTTTTTTCTAAACAAAAATAAAATTATAACCATCAAATGAATTCATCTATCTCTGTTGTACCTGGTTCTATTGATAGTTGAAGAATGTTATTTTAGCTTTCTTAGTATTGTGGAAATCATGCTGCTTTGTTCCCTACAGGAGTTAAAATAAAATATTAGTAATTATGCATATTTAATTTTCAAAATGCCAAGTGATTACTTACAGCATTTATAAAAAGGAAAATGATTTTAGATAATCACAAAACATTTCCTTAGTAAGGGGCTGTCAAATCTAAAGTCATGTTATTATGGATATTTTTTATTACAATGATCATAATGAAAAATGAATTTATCAACATGTCCCTCTTCTTCCTCTTTACTAGATGCAAGACAAAGGTCTACCCCGATGAACTTCCAAACACAAGTGTAGTCATTGTGTTTCATAATGAAGCTTGGAGCACTCTCCTTAGAACTGTTTACAGTGTTATAAATCGTTCCCCACGCTCTCTGCTCTCTGAGGTCATCTTGGTAGATGATGCCAGTGAAAGAGGTATAAATGTTTTTCTTGTATTTTTTTTTAATTAGAAAACTTTGTTATAGTCGAAAGATGGCTGGACGATGGTCTGTGTTTTCCTTATACTAATACTGCAATACCTATCAAATTTTCATCAATATACCAAGTCAGTGCCAACTCCAGGAACAAGTAACTAATACTTTGTTTTTCTCATGATTCATTTAATCCTTATTACCTAAGAAACCAGCTAAAATGATTTTCAAAAGTATTTCTTTTTTTCTAGCTCAGTTGATTGTACGATTTATAGGACTTGGTGGAATTTCTTTTTTCTTTTAGGTACAGGTAAAATCAAAATAACTTACAATTAAGGAGCTTACATTTGGCACTGTGACCCAGTTTCTAAATTAGTTCGGTATATTAACTTCCTATTATATCCTTACCCTTGTCAGCCAAGTGACAGGGTTATAATGAACTGTACATTAATTTACTGATGAAATGTCTGTATCTGTATTTCATCTATTCAAAAAGAGTTGATGGGAGTTGGCCACCATTTCTGTGTGTTGAATTTCTACGTGGGCAGTAGTATCTCTACTATGTCTTATGACAGCTCAAAACTTTCTCAGTTCTCATTGTACATTACAGATTTTCTCAAGTTGACATTAGAGAATTACGTGAAAAATTTAGAAGTGCCGGTAAAAATTATTAGAATGGAAGAGCGCTCTGGGTTAATACGTGCCCGCCTTCGAGGAGCAGCTGCTTCAAAAGGGCAGGTCATAACTTTTCTCGACGCACACTGTGAATGCACATTAGGATGGCTGGAGCCTTTGTTGGCAAGAATAAAGGAAGACAGGTAAGAATGCTTGTGTTCTATCTGCCTGGGCTATGACTGAACCCGTTAGGACATTTCCAGCTGTTCATCAAAAATTCTCTTCCAAGTTGCTATTTCCAGAAAGTTTATTTCCCAGCTTTAAAAAGAAAGCAGTAATCCCCTTCCCTTACTTAATAAAGACCTTGGCTTATTCATGCTGAACATGAATATTTGATGAAGAAATAGTCAAACAGTGCAAATGTGTTGAATATTCATTTTGTAGATGAAAGAAATGAGCAATGTGAAATAGTTGCATATTTTATAAAATACATTCTCAGAGTACCTTATGGTGTCTTCACAACCACCCTGTGACACAGGTAATGTAGATGTTCTTGTCTGTACATAATAATAGGGAGGAACAAAGAAGGGAAGTAAGTCCCCCAGTTACAGGAAGTGATGGTAACAACAATTCAGTTCTTCTCATTCCCAGACCAGTTTTCTCTCTACTAGGGCACTGCCTTTATTCAAAGTTTAGTTCAAAATGATCTTGAGGATCTTAGCCACAAACACACATACTAACTGAAATGAAAAAATCATGATTAAAAAAGATAAAAGCATGTTTATAAGAATAAGTTACTTTAAATAATATTTTCACTTTGTACATACAAATTGTGTAATATGAAAAATTGAATAATACTTTGTAGAAATTAGGAACCTTTGTAGATACCTGCAATTCTTTCTGATGATAAAGCTATGAAGTACAAGCTTTTTTTGCAGATATTCATAAATATCGGTGATAAGTGGGTATTAACTCCTAAGCACCTAATGAAGATGACTCTTTTAATGCTGTCTGATAAAAACAAAGCATTGCATAACACCTTGTTTGCATTATCATTTTGCCTACAGTAGACAGGTCTTTTTAGAATTGACATTTTAACTTAGCATCTAAAACAGGGGCTGCTTCTTAGTATGAGCTAGGCCAGCTACATCATGTAAATGGTAGGACTTGGTACTTTCAGAAGATAGATGGAAGTTGTCAATAAAATGAACCATAGCACCTGAAGAACGCAGTGGGAACCTTTTACCCACTGAACCTATTAGCCATGTACATGGCTAATAACATTTTTCCACTCTGTGGGTTGTACAGCAGGCCTAGGATGGTAAGACTGGCAAAGCAAAATGAACTTAGAACATCTTAAATGTATTTCCTGACAACTTTTCACACATTATGCTGCTTTCTTAAACATGTATTTCATATTCAACTTAGTTTTTAATATAATGTTTCAGTGTGGTTGTATAGAAATCATGTATTTTTAATCTAAAAACATATTTAGATTCTATTTGCTTATAGTGAACTCTAATGTCTTGTACTGCTTGTAAGTTGTAAAGTTGCATCACTAGGTAATTAAGTCCTGTTCAGGATTATTAGATCTAATTTCATCTCCCTACAAATTAAATCATTAAATTTAATGAAGAAAGAGAGAAAGATAATGATTTTGTAGGGACCAAAGATACAAAGAAGCTTTTTTTCAAGGCTGGATGCATCCTATTGATTTCAAAGAACTCTAGGTTTTGGTCAGTCATGTGAAGGATAAGATCCAGTTGAAAATTAGCACTGGTGACACTGGTGTTACAAAACCAGAATAAATAATGGACAACATTTCTTTGCTTTACACATCTGTGGGCGATTCAAAAGTATATTTGTGTATTACCTTCTGTCACATATGAAAAACAAGCTTTGCTCTTTGGAATTAGCTACAATCAATACAAACTTGGGAGGTCTCAAACATTTACTGTGGTGATGACAGAAGGTTGATCCCATAATAAAATACATCAGCTGGGAGTAGGCAGAGACTGGAGACATGACATGGGTTAAAAGAGTACCTATTGATCTCCCATGGATTAAAAGAATACCTTAGAAACCTCCAGCAAGAACACCAGATCTCCTGGTACTTTCTTTTACTTTAGGGGAAAAAAATGGGTCATGGGGTAAAATACCAGAAACCAAAGTGACATATGTTTCCCTATCATAAGCTATGTGGATTGTTACTGTTAATTCTTGAGTGTAGGACAGACAGTTCACCTGGAAATTGTCATGACCTTAATATCTTCCATAGGACACATTTAATTACACTGATGATCATGATTTTTTTTTGTGTGTGTGTTTTTTGTTTATGTTTTCTAGTAAGTATTTATTCCATGAAGATTTTCTCAAAACTATTTCTTTAGGCTATCCCCTTTGAGATTCAAACAACCAGATCTAATTTGCCATCATCCATTTTCCACTCTATGCATGCTACTGCTTTTCCGTGGCTGTAGCTACAATGATGTTTAATCTGAAAGCAGCTCTACAAATCGTGCTGGTGGGGGAGGTTTTATGAAAAAAAGAACATGTTTATCTTGTTGAGTTAGTACTTAGAATGCATTTGGAAATCATCTTGAAGATCAATTAGTATATTTGATTAGATTATACATGATAGACTAAAGTGGACTCTAGGGACGATGTAGTAAAAGGAAATAATTCTATGGAGAAAAAGGATAAAATAAAAGAAGACATATTAAAGTCACAAAATAATTGAATTTCAACATATCAGCTGCATGAGTTTGAAGCTAATGTGATGTTTAAATTATTATTTACATGTAAACTGGTTTCAATTTTTCTGCAGTAAAACAGTCGTATGCCCCATCATTGATGTGATTAGCGATGATACCTTTGAATATATGGCTGGGTCAGACATGACTTATGGGGGTTTTAATTGGAAACTGAATTTTCGTTGGTATCCTGTTCCCCAAAGAGAAATGGATAGAAGGAAAGGAGACAGAACGTTGCCTGTCAGGTATGTGAATCATATCTTGCAAGGGATAGCATGTGTATTCCTGCAATAATTAAGGAGTAGTATAAATTGGTATCCTCAAGTTTAAGGATATATATTTTATTCATATACACAAATGCATTATCACCTCTTAGATGATCACCTAAGGATAAACGGCAATAGTAAATCTAGTTTAAGTTAGCACAGACAAATTTAGGTGTTGGCATAATTTTGAAACTTTGTGTATTCTTATATTCAAAATATGCTTATTTCTATGTGATAGATATATGCTCACCTTGACACTTCAGGTAGATGTCTATCTTACCTAAGTGTGTATGCTATATTAGAGGTATTCCCAAAATTGAAATAACCAAAAAGGTTTTGTTAAATATTCTAAAAGAACTAGCTTCCTTATATATACCAAAAAGAACTATCTTCCTTCTAATTGTATTAGAAGAATACAATTCTTTCTTTTGAATTGATCCAATCCATTTGGAAAAGATCCAATCCATTTGGAAAAGTTTCACACATTAACAATTATGAGGATTGTTTCTTATTTAAAATAGCTATGTAATTTGAAATGTTTATTCATATATGTGCTTGCCTTTATAAAGTAAGAGACATCATATGCATCATTAGTCATCTAGATTAGCATTACCCAATTTATTAACATAGATTTATCACCTTCTTATTTTAACATATTGTTATCTATCTCTTACCTGCAACCCAAAAGTGATTTCCCGAACAATTCTTTTGAGAAGGAGCTTACTGTTTTAGTTCCTTAGAGAGGAATTTGGCAAATTATCATTTAGTTGGAACAACAGAGAAATATGCTAACGTTCTAAAACAACATATATAACCTAGTATCTAAACCTGGATGTCTCCTGATTTACTGAGGGAATGGCTTATCACTGTCAAGGCTAATGACATAATGAATCAACTAAAACTAAATCTAAAAATTGGCTAATGGAAGAGAACACCTCTAACTGTTTGTCATTGAACAATTAAATATTGGAACTGTTAACCCTCTTAAGAAGATATTACTACATCAAAGAGAAAACTAAAACGTGGCTCCAAACAATTACATAAAGATGTGAAATTATTATGTCAAAATTCAAAGTGCAAATTAAGACTTTGTTCCTTAAGTCATGCTGTAATCTCCACATTCACCAAGTCTTATTGATCCTTACCTTTAACAGCTAGGGGAAATTTAGTTGCTCATGTTACCATTGTTTATTAGAGATCCTATTTATCCAGGTCATAATTTCATTTAGTGTAACTGATTTTTCAGTTTCCAAGTGAAAATTATCAAAATACTTGACCAATACAAAGATAGGTAATGTGTTTTAGTTCATTGGGAAATTAAAAGATAGTGTGTTTGTACTCATTTTTTTTAAAACACATTGGCAAAAGACATGCTTTATTTAATTTTATTTTCTCATAGAGTCAAAAAGTATATAATTAACAGATACTAACAATCATAGTAAGAAATTATAGATCTCGTTCATGAAAGTATAGATTTACACAGGAATCAGCTTTTATTTCTTATCTTTCATTAACTAAACCGAAAAAGGAAGCATCCAACTTGCTGCTTAAAATCTAAGTATAGATTATTTGTTTGCCTCAGTAGCTGCACATTATCTCACTTTCTAAAATGCTGAGGGAGCTAAAGTAAGAGAAATGGAGAAACCTCGATCTTTGCTGAAGTTTCTAGATTTTTATGGGGAAAGGTTAATTAATTCACTGGCTGTGTTGAAACAGCCTGCAGGTAATTTTCATCTGCATAGCTGTAATGTGAACTTTCTTTGTACTTGTAATATATTACTTGAGGATGTGATCATTTTTCTCACATTCTTACAAACAGATAAATCATTGTAGGTGTTGAAGATGAGTTTTTTTTCCTGCTTGATTAACAGAATTCTGAATAGCTAACGTGATTAAAATGAGCTTGAAATTTCAGTTTTCTTCGTAAATGCCTTCATTTAAAATGTCAGTTATGACAGAACTTTTTAGTGACTATAATTGGCTAGTTAGTCATCATTTAGAAATACAATTATGCAGTTGCATACACAGAGAACCAACTTGAACTTGTGACCTAGCCTTAGTTATACTACATTTAAAATAAAGTTCATAATGGCTATACTTATTATTCTATGTCAACCTCTGGGCTTTGATATTTTCATTTTGATAATAAATGGAGTTTGTGAAATACTTGGTATTTATGAAGTTATGGCTATGGAATAATAGCACCCATATCATGAATATTTAATTGTCTTTAATCAATAAACTCTTCTTGACATCCATCATCAAATTATATGACTTCTCAGGAATATCTCATTTACATGTGTGACAATAGGACAGTCAAATTGTTAAGCCAGAAGCTTTTGTGTCAAATGTGCTCTGTAGATGTGTTTTACTTGGCCTACATAGTATCTTGAATTTTGTAAAAATTACCAACATTTTAAAAATAAGATGCTTTAAATAAAAATGTGGATTTCCAACTATCCTTAGGAAGTCAAAAGATCTTGCTCCAATCGTCCTGTATTCCTACTTGGAGCCATCAAGTGGAGTTCAGTAGAAGCTGCCCACATAGAAATGGCAGGAAAGTTTAGACCAAATCCCCAAATTCTGTGTGTGTGTGTGTGTGTGTGTGTGTGTGTGTGTGTGTGTGTGTGTGTATACCTGGCTCTGAGTTTGAGGATCAGTTGCCATTTGTCATCATTCTTGCATTTGGAGAAATATTTCTCTGTCCCTGTGTCCCAATCAAAGGTGAGGGAAATATTTTTCTTGCAACAAATCAATTTCACCTATTAACTTTATTCGCCCAACTATAATTTAAAAAATTTGTGACCTAGACTTAGAGGCTACTGTCTAGGAAATCACTAAGGTTGAAACTTCATGGAACATGTTAATAGCCCTGTGTGAATGTGCATATATGTTACCTAATAGAATACACAACTAATAGCATAAGTTATCTTGTCATGCAGATAATCTCCTGAATCATTTAATTAGTGAGGGGTGTATTATGCATTTTTTCTAGTACATGTAACTTTTGAGTTGATTTGGTTCAGGCTGTCAAAATGAGTTTGATTCCTTTTGCAAATGCACATGCATATAAACCATTGAGCACTGTGCACATACAGAGATGAACAGAGTTATCTCTACTCTTTAAGTAACCCACTGTCTGACACTGGCCATATGTATGCTGGATGAGGGAGACAGGCCCCCATAAGTGGCCAGAGTGTGGATGCACAGAAGGTCAACTATGTCAACTCCTAGGTGTGCTCTTCTGGAAAAGAACCTGGCTTTGCTCTTATTGACTGCTTTAGTCTCTTGAGTATGCCCTGTAAGTAACACTCAGTAGTTGCAAAGATAGTTTCTAATTTCTCACGATTGAAGTAGATTATTAAAATCCTACTGGTTATTTTTCAGATCTGCTTAATTTTCTTCATCCTTTATGTCTTACTATGAGTTCCCATATTTGTGATTGTTAATATTCTTCATATGGCTTCCTTCATCCTTACCTGGAGTACCATGTTCAGTATCTTCCTAAAGTAAAACAAAAGAGTTTTATATTTTCTTCTAATCCTTGCTATCATAATAAATCAAACATAGATGTAACTAATGAGTTTTTATTCCTGACACATTTTACTTACTTTAATATCCCCTTTTATTAACATTTGTCTGATCTCATACATAAATCAAACATAGATGTAACTAATGAGTTTTTATTCCTGACACATTTTACTTACTTTAATATCCCCTTTTATTAACATTTGTCTGATCTCATACATTCATTTATCTCTCAGTTGGAGTTAGGGATTTATAAAGATCAAATAAATTAAAAAATTATTAATAACATCTCTGATTACAATTATTGTGTCCTTAGTATGAAATCTCATAGAATTTTCACATATAATATTTCCTGGATCTTTCTAGTGTGATATCATAGAAGAAGCTTTGAAGCTGGCTTGGGAGGATCTGGATTTTATTTCAATTTCCTCCACTTGGGATATTACGCATTTTTTTCAACTATAAAATAGAAAATCATTTGCTTCTTTGCTTAACTTGTGAAGCATTATAAAATATTAAATGAGGAATGTATTTGAAAGGAGTTATTTTAAATTTATTTCTGATAATATAAATAATGTATATGTGCATTGCAAAATAAATGTGATAAGTACGTAAAACTATTCAGAAGCAGAACAGCAATGAGCCACCTCTTTCAGGGTTTTATTTTATTTCCTTCCAGAACATTTCTTTCCAGACACATTTTTCCACAATTTAAAAGTTAATATATCATTAGTATTTTCCTATTCCATTAATTGTTTTTTACAAATAAAGATTATAATGGCTGCTCATATCTCTTCCTCTTTTTTCTTATAATCTAAAGTTGATTCAGAGTTTGTTTACACTATTTCTTACCAATTATGTTTTCCAATCTACAGTTTCTGCATATAATGTGGTCTCTTTAGAATTATGCAATCAAGCAATATGAAATTTATTTTAATAGTCTTGACACCTTCTGCCAATTTGATTTCCCCCTGAAAAAACTCATCACTAACTCCAATTGTAGTCCCTCTAGTTAGTAAGCAAAAATAGTGAAAAATACTTTTGTTCTGTAAGATGTTATACAAATATAAGACAATATTTCTTATTATTTAATAGCAACTAATGACATATTTCTAAGTTTTATCTGTCAGATTTTCTCTATTTGATTTTCCTCAGTCAAATGAAAATCCACTTTTAAATGGAGGAAAGAAGCAAAGGTGGATACTTTTAAAGCCTGTGAGACACTTCTTTACAGTTGGCGATGCTAAAGTTGTCATGCAGGGCAAGGCTGTGCACAGAGCATAGACTTTGAAAGAAAAAGCTGCATTTGGAGTGTTCAACTGTTTAATATTCTTTCTAACTCATGTTAAAATCTAATATATTTTGATTCTGAGAGAAAAAAAATCCCGCCTCAGGTAAAATCTGTGAATCTATATTCTTTGGAGAATATAGTGCATTTTTATTATATTACT